GCAACCTGTCCGTGGACAGAGGTGAAATTAGCATGTAGGAAGTAAACTGGGACCAACAAAAAGTTTCTTTTGGAACCTTGATGTCTTCTTGCTCAAAGAAACATTAAGAGCCTTTTGGTCCAGCCCTCATGTGTTTACTGAATTCCTGCCCGCACCCCTCTTTGAGCGCACCTGTCAGGTTTTCACCCTTGTGTGGTCTCTGGTTGGAACCCACGAGTGCTAGGGAGCTCCTTATCCTTATCATAGACCAATTTTGCTTTCTTACTTTTACAGGTGGGAATCCTGTTACTCCACGTCCCATCCTTCAGACACTCGATCTGGAATGTATCCATCTCCACATTATCCTAGGAAGAAACGTGAAGAAGTTATGGCAAGAAGGAGAAGGGGTGGGCTCGGTGGTTGTCTCCCAGTATAACCAGCTCAAATTCCAAACCGGTTGTCCTTGACTGAGATTTTCCAACCATGGGCCTCCAAGGTCAAGCTTGATAAGAAAAAAAGAGATTCATAGTCCCCATTCCTACTCTGGAGAGGGGCAAGGACTGTGTGGAAGAAAGGGCTTGGACAACCGTCTGGGAGGGGAACCCGGTACCCCTGACTCCCCTTCTAGAGTAGTGCCTCTCAAATATGAGTAGGCATCAGGACCTTTTGCAGACTCCTGGGCCCCACCCCCAGAGTTTCTGATTCAGTGGGTCCGGCTTGGAGAGCATGGTTTGCATTTCTAATAAGTGATGTGATGCTGTGGTGGGGACCCCACGTGGAGGCCCATTCCTTGAGAGGCTTCCTCTAGTTTGGCTCACACTGGACTCACCTGGGTAACATAACAGAAAAACCAATCATCGCCCCCGCCCCAGAGATTCTGCTTTAATTCATCTCAAGTGAGGGGCCTGGGAGGTGATTTTGTATTATTTTTAAGTTAGCCGGGTGACTCCTAGGAGAGTGAGCAATGTCTATCTGCCACCTCTAAAATCTCCACTTCCTGTCCCAGTTTCCCCCAGTAAGCCTGATTGATGAACTCTGTTAAGGTTGTTTGTCCTTTGTCCTTTGTTTTTGAAATTCAAATCAGCCCAAGACTTCTGTGCCATTTCCAGATGTGAAAATCTGGGACGCACGCTTTGGATTTTCAGAGGACTGGAATTTCCGGAACACGTTGGAAGTTTATGGGGTAGTTAGCGAATACTGTGGTGGGGCCATGACCAGTCCTGGAAGCCCATCTGCCTTGGGAGGCACTGGAGCATTTCTCTGGCCTGGTGGCTCTTCCTCCCCCAGCAGCACCCTGTACCTTCAGCACTTTGTAGCCTGTGTCACAGCTGATGAGCACCTGGTCTTTGAAGGAATACGTGGTTTGCAGGGGCTCAATTTTCCCGTGGACAGGAGGCTCTGGCTCTGGGCACTCGTTCCCTGATGGGAGCAATGACAGGACGGTGGGCAAGAAAACAAGGAAAAGTCTGCAGCAGGCAGCCAGCCCCCGCAGTGCAAGGTGTGGTGCAGGGGAAACCCACAGACCTGGGTGCTGGGGGCCTGCACCTTCTAGGCCCTAAAGACTTAGTCTGGAACCTCGAGCAGGAGACTTTCCAACTGGGACCTCTAGTTCCTCTTCTGTAAAATGAGGTGTTTGGCCAAATGATTTCATCACGACTCAGGGTTCAGCAGCATATTAAATGTCATTGAGTGCAACCCTTGTCTGAGACTGCCTTTACAACATCTTCTATAGTAGACATCAAACACCTATTTGCATTCCTATAGTGACAGGGAGCTCAATACCTCCCAAACCTGTACCTTTCTTACTGGACTCCTCAGGAACGGTGTTTTCCTATTCAACTAAAATCTATATCCTTGTAATTTGCTCTCATGGGGCAGAGTTTGTCTTCTTGGGCTCCTCAGGATGACTGTAATCACTCTTTCTCCCCAAGACGATTCTTAAAAGTGTTAGAGAGACTGTGACCATATGCCTCTGAGCTCTCCCTTCCAAAGGCCACGTTGGACAGGATTCCCGGGCTGAGTCTATCCCTGACATTTTTTTTCCTGGACAAACTCTCTGTTAATAGTCTCTTCATTCCTTTCCCTAGAACTTGGTGCCAATGTGATAATGCAGGCAAGGCCAGGATATCAGACCAGGATCTATAAGCTGCATTAGCCACGCCCAGCACCCTCTTCTTCCGAGGCTTACTGCAGACTCCTGGGGCAAATGACTCTATCAGGGTTTGGGGCAGGACTGGCTGCCTTGGGGGTACTGGGGAATGAGGCCTGTGAATGCTGCCAGTCCGGGACCACAGGACTCAAACCGCCATGATGAAACATTATGAGCTACGGGCCCACACTCAAATTCTTGCCCCAGGCTTGGAGAGGGCTGGGTTGGGAGGATTCTCTCCAGGCCCAATGAATCAGAGTGAGTGAGAGTAGAATTCAGGAAATAAGGTGGGTTTGTTCGTTTGTTTGTTGTTTTTTAAATCTTCTTATGTGATTCGGAAGTGTAGTAAGTTTGAAAACTATGTCTAGTCTAAACCCACCATTATTGCTGCCCTTGTGCCCCTTTTAGGGATGGGAAACTGAGTCAGGAGAGAGAATGTACCTGGTTCCACACTCCTCTGTAGCAGAGCTGGGGGGTCCTGCCACATCCCCAGAGGAGTCCCCAGGCCTGCCCTGCTCATCCCTCAGCCACTGCCACACAAGGGCTGAGCACAGTGACCAAGCATGACCCACGGAGAGAGAGAGGCCGTGTTACCTGTCGCCCTGTATGAGAGCCTCCAGCCCCGGTTCTCCCCTGAGTTGTCGCTGCGGAATAGGATCTGGACGCTGTGGCTCTGGGTATTGATGGGTTCTGGTGCTCTCTCTCCACAGAAGGGCCCCAAAACTTTTGGACCAGCTTTAATCTGTGAGGGGCAAGGTTGAGAGAAAGGGTCACATCTGAGCAGTGGTGGCAGCTGCTGGGGCCATCTCTATGCTGCACCCTGGGTTTCTGGAAGTCTCCATGTGAACCCATAGTATTCACTCATGTTTTTAGTGGGCGTTATCATTCACCAAACAGTTCCATTGCCACTCTCTCATTTAGAGATTACAATAGCCTTGGAAGTGGATGAGGCAGGCTAATAACCCTCTGCTCAAAGATGAACATTCTATGGCTCAGAAAGGGACAGAGCCCTGTCCAGGTGCATAGGATAGAAAAGGTCTCGCTCTCAAAGACCCTGCAGTCTAGTCGAGAATGGCAAGGATGGGGGGCTGGGACTGACAATAAATAATAAGCAAAATAATTACATGCTGTGGCAAGAATTATAAAAGTAAACAGGACGGTATATACATATAATATAAATATATGCTATATATTTATAATTTATGTAATAAAATCTAAGTAACCTATCTAATTTATTATTTATATAATAGATTACACTTTATTTATTTTTTAATAAAACTTTAAATAGGTGGTCACGAATGGCTTCTTTGAGGAGGTGACATTGGAACTGAGACATAAGGAAGAGGGGAGAATGCTTTCCAGGCAGAGAAAACAGCATATGTAAAGGTCAAGGTCAAAGGTGGGAAAGGGCTCAGCAAGTATTAACAACAGAAAGGAAGCCAGAGTGGCTGAAACAGAGGGAGTACCATAGCATGAGGTAGGAAAGACAGGCAAAGGGCCACATTGTGTTGAGCAATCAACATTTACTTCCAAGAGCAATCCTGAATTAATTTGGCTTTTATAAAGATCAGCCTCAGTGCCATGGAGAGCAGACTATGTAGGGCAAGGGTGGAAGCAAGAAAACCAGCTGGAAGCTTTGCAGCGGAGATAATGGGGTTTAGCCTGGGATGGAGTCAGTGGGGAATGGAGGGAAGGAAGTAGACACTATTAACTGATCTGGATTTCCTGACTCCCAGGGCCAGGTCCTCTAACTCTTTTTCTTTCCATCTCCAAGGACCAGGACTCCTGAACCTCACCTGGTGACTTCTACAATCCTGGGTGATATCTCCATCTTATCACCCTTATTGTGGATAGGGGAAAAAGTGAAGCCCCATTAGGTTAAATGCCTGGAGAAGGCTCACAGCAATGCTCCTGGGATACTGTGTGTGGTAGGCAGAATTCTAAGACGGTCCCTGTGACCTTCACCTTCCCTGTGACCATCACTTCATGATGATGTCAATTAACATGGCAAAAGGGATTTTACAGGTGGCCAAGGAGCTAGTGTCAATCAGGGAAGATCCCTAGGCTGGATCTGATTAAGCTGGTGATGCTATTTTAAGTAAGTAGATGCTATTTTGGGAAGATAGCAGCTTGGTCCCCTATCCTGGGAGAAGGTAGAGGGCCAAGAATATCAATTTTCCCAATTCAGCCAAGATTTCCCAGCATCCATTGTAGGCTTACCTTGATGTAGTCATAGGGGCAGGACACCTCGGGATGATCCTCAATGTCGAAAATGTCCTCGAACTGCAGGCTGACCATGAAACCCTCCTCTAGCTCTATCGTGTAGAAGCATTCTGAGCTCTTAGGATAAGGGTTGGGGAAGTCCGGGCTGGTGATCACGCCAGTCCTCTGGGTAAAGAGGTTGTCACTGCACTCCACTGTGGGAAACATACCAGAGCAAAGTGGCACATCACAACCATGGCCACAGCAACCCCTCCCTTATCTGCTACGGTACAATTTTTCCCACTGGTCCTGAGAGGCAATCAGGGAAGGCATCACTATCCCCATTTTACGGATGGGGAGACTGAAGTTCAGGGAGAAGTAATTTATCCAAGGTCACACACCTAGTAATTTTCAGAATCAAGCAAGACTCAAAGGCTGTAAGTGTGATAAGCCTTCTTATCAGATTCTCTGGTATTGGTGAGGGGGCAGGAGAGGTCTGAGATGGAAAGGTTTTGAGATGGAGTGGTAGGGGGAGACATCTGGACCTACTTTGTCTTGTTTTCCCCTCAGCCCAGGACTCCATTGTCTGTTCAAAGTCTTCCTGATCCTTCATCCAACACAGGACCCTCACACATACCCTCACTCTCTGGCCCCTGGACTTGCTGTTTCTCCTCTTGCTGCTGACAACTACCTGACATTATGCAATATATTTGCCGGTGGATTTTGTTGCCCCCACTAGATTGTACGTTCCCTGAGTTCAGGGATTCTGCTTTGTTCCCCACTTAGCTGCAACAAGGACCCAGTGTCCTGGGATCCTGGCCGTGGCTTAGCCCTGCAAAGACCCTTTATTGGGCACCAAACCTTTCTCTTTGGGCTGACCCATCCTAGATCTGGGATGTCAATCCTTTCTAAGCCCCTGTTTATTGTGCTCATTTGCAAGTGTCAAAATTGGCTCAGAGAGGGGGCAGGGCTAACGTGAAGTCCTATAGCTGTGAGCTTCAGAGCATGGTTAGGAGAGGGCTTTTGAATCCTCATCTCTTTTCATTTCCTACCTCAAGCACTCTCTGGGGGCTGACATTGCCCCCATGGGGGCTAAAATTGTTTGGAGGGGTTACTCTTTTTATGCATAATACACAGATGGACAGAGTACATAAACTCATATATAGTATTATCTGTGGTATTAAAATTTCACGGGTAGGGGAAATTAGGAAAATAATGTTTAAAAAGGCTCCTGGAGGCAGAGGAGAAACGGAAAACAACGATTGAGAAGCTCTGCTCATTCTTAGCCCCCACTGTACTTAACATGTAGTAGATACTCAGTAAACAACTACTGAATGAAAACCATGGAAAATATAGCCCTCTTGAAGAAAACTCCTGTACGTGCCTGCTTTATAATGATGAGTCACATGAGGGTTTTATTCAGAAGCAAGGGAACTTTTTGAAGGAGGAAGGAAAGGAAGCCTTGTTTCCAGCCCTGCTCTCCTCCAATGATACCCTAGTTGGCTTCCAAGTGACCCTCCTAAAACGCAGATCCTTACCCTGTAGTCATCCATACTAATCTGCTGTCAATGCCCCAAATATGCCAAGTTCTATCAGGCCTCCGAATGTTTGCAGAAGCTATCCTCTCTGCCTGGAGCACCCTCCTTTTCCTTCTCCCATCTCTGCCAAGGGCCACTATCTCTGGGACATGTCTGCTCGCTACGCCGTGTAGACTCAGGTCAGATTGTGCTGAGCCCACACTTCTTTTACAGCATTGACTACATTTCACCATTTGCTTCTGTGGTGATTACCCCACTAGCCAGGGAGGCTCTCATGGAAAGTGGCTGAAGCCTTCCATTTCTCCATTTCTCCATCCCTGCCCTGCCTGGACACAACAGCTGGGTAGGCATGTTGACTAGACATGAAAATGAAGAGAGATAGAAGGAATGGGGCATTTTCTTGCTGTCTCTCTTTGCCTCTCTCCTCCTACATCTTTCCTTTGGACTGAGGTTCTTTTGATCACAGAGGAACTTGGGAGACCATGGGAGCGAAGAGGAAAAGGAACTGCTGGGTGAGATCAAGCTCATGGCTCAGAGAGAGGGGACTGGGAAACCTAGGTTTTCCCATAACTTGGCCAGGCTGGTTACCTACAGTAGGAGAGCAGAAATCCCTGCTGCTGAGGAAGAAAGATGGCCTAGAGGCTAGGGCTTCTCAAATGTGGTCCTTTGAGAACCTGAACCCGGACTTCCCGGCTGGTGGGCATTTCGCATCTTCGTCCATGTGGTATCTGAGGCAGAGATCTCTGGCTTCATTTCTAATTGTTCCTACTCCACATCCGTCCCTCCTCTGAGTCTCGCTTAATCTTATTGGGAAACATGGCACAAAATGGTGCTATAGAGTGTGATCCGCAGGCCCCACCTCGGCAGGTCCTGTTGTCTGTGTGGAGGAGGTAGCCAAAGCGGCAGGAGCAATAGTAGCCGCCGATGTAGTTGTGGCAGTAGTGGTCACAGGACAGCTCCTCGTCTTCCCGCTCGGTGCACTCATCCACATCTGCAGGGCAACCAGTCCATGCGTGAGGATGAAGACAACAGGCAACATCTACAGAGCATGTCATATGGGCCACTCCCTGTGTTAGCCCCAAAGTAGCCATTCCTTCCATTTACAAATGAGGAAACTGGAACTCAGAGCAGCAAGGCAACTTAGCCCAGGTCACAGAAAGCCAGGTTCAAGGCCAGGCAAGCTGAGTCTTGGTGGTGCCCCTGCCCTCTAACAGTTGTGGTCATGGCAAGCAGGACTCTTACCATCCCCATTCCACGGATGATGAAACAGAGACTTGGGGCCTTTAAAGAGCTTACTCCAAGTCACAGAGATGGCAAGTGGTGGAGTCAGCATTCACACCCAGGTAGGCTGGCTCCAGAACCCACTCTTTCCATCTAGTCCATGCTGCCCCTCTCTCTACATCCCACTTCCCTGGGCAGTGGAAATGTAAACATTAAAAAAGTATGCTCTCAACCCAATTTAAAGATCTGATGGTACACTTTCCCCCAACAGATACAGGAATGGCCAACAAGCACATGAAAAGATGCATTAGTCACCAGGAAAATATAAATCAAAACCATAATGAGGTACCACTACATACCCCACCAGAATTTTAAATTTTAAAAATTTAAAAGTTGACAACATCAAACTCTCATACATTGGTGAAGGAATATAAAATGGTGCAAAAACACTTTGGTAAAGGTCTGGCAATTTCTTATACAACTAAATATACACCTGCCCTATGACCCAACAATTCTGCTCCTGGAGAGTTATCCAATAGAAGTGAAAACATGTTCACAAAAAGACTAGTACAAAAAGGCTCACAGAAATTTTTTTAATGAGAGCCAAAAAAAAGGATAGAGCGCAGGTGTCCATCAGTGGAAAAACGGGTAAACAGATTGTAGTGTATTCATACAATGGAAAATTACTCTGCCAGGAAAGGGGCAAATTACCAATGCATTGCAACATGACTGAACCTCAAAAACTTTATGCTAAGGAAAAGAATCTTCACTTCAAATATATTTTGCGTATGTTCATTTATATGAAGTTTAAGAAGAGGCAACACTGAGCTATGGTGGAAAAAAATTGGAACAGTTGTTGTCTCTAAGGGAGATAGGAGCAGAGTGTGATTGGGAAGGAATGTAAGGGAGTTTTTCTGGGTCAATGGTAAAGTTGAATATCTTATTAGCCGTTTGGGTCACATAAAAATAAATTTCTCAAAACTCAACAAGTGTGCTTAAGGTTTATACATTTCACTGAATGTAAATTTTATATTCAAAGAAAGAAAATTGTGGATAGATATTGAACTTCAGCAAAATGATATGCGTGCTGAATTATTTAGGAAAAAGTGTACTACTGTCTGCATTTTACTTTGAAATGCATCAAAAAGGATGGGTTGATGGATATATAGAGGATAGACAGATGGGAGATATGTGATAGAGAAAGTGCAATAAGATATTAATGGCAGACTCTCTATGGTGAGTATATCGGTGTTTATTGTAAAAAAGAGAGCATACAGTACTTTCAGTCTTTAGGGAGAAAGGGAGACCTAGTAGGGATGAGCCACCCACTTCTCCCACTTACCCACGGCCATATAGTGGGCATCAAAGCCCGTGAATCGCTCCTCATTGGAGAAATCTGACCGGAAAGTGATGGACATGAAGGAGCCAGGGGAGAACACGACTTCCTGGCCGGGGGTCTGCTCTGTGTCTGTAGTCTCCTGGCCGCAGAAGGTTGCCAACACCTGCTCTTCCGTTTCTACCTTTGGGGTCAAAGAGAGAGGAAACAAGATGAGCAGCTTCCCAAATTAGCTTCCCCGCTGGTCTCCAGGAGAAAGAGGAAGAGCCTGCCCATGAGCACACCAGGCAGCCTGGGAAACCCAGAGAAAGGGGGATTCAGGATTCTGGTACTTGAGGAAAGACACAGTACGGGGTAAGTCTATGTTGGCTGTTCAGTCACTGCTTCATTCACTTTTATAGGGTCCATCAGAAGTAGCTTGACATCTGTCATTCCTATTGACAACAAAATGGCTTGTTTTGTTGAAAATAACTCAATTTTAGAATTCAGGAAGAGTTAGATAATCTCACGGATAGATTCCATATGCAACAGAAACTGATCACATTTCCAAAGAAGAGAGACGAACTCCAGGTCATTCATTGAGCATTCAGTGGGTGCCTGCCAGTGAGCAAAGCACAGGAGCTGTGCATGGGGAGGCAGAGTTCAGACGGATGGAAACACAGACAGGCCTATTATACGGCATGACAAGGGCTTCAACAGGAACACAAGTACTGGGAATGCACACACTCGGAAGGAGATGAATGATCCCATCAGAATGGAAACTGCAGGAAAGCGGAGACTTTGTTTTCTTTGCAGATGTGTTTTCAGTATGTGGAGCGGGGACTGGTGCATAGCAGTTACCCAACAAATGTCTGTTGTCAAGAACTAAAATGCGAGGGCTGTTCTGAGAACAATGAGAAGTCAGGGAGTCTGTGGGGATTAGAGGAGAGGTACGTTGCTGGATAGGTTGAAATGAGATTATGACTGAGCTTGAATACCATAATAACACTATGTGACTTTTCATTCTGTGAGTAAAGGAGAGACACTGAGAACTTTTGAACAGGGAAATTGTGTAATTAGAACTATATTTAATAGGTGGTCTTCATAATTCAGAAATGACTGGAATCTTCCCTGAAATGGTTGTGTTTGTGTTAAGACTCAGAGGCAAAAGTGACCTATTTGCTAAAAGAATTCCTTACTTTGGAAGAGCCAGAGGCCCTGTGTAAGTTCAGGGACCCAAGTAGAAATCCTAAACTGGTTGCGTAAGCCGATGTTGTGTGAGTTTGGTTTGGGAAGCACAATATGGTAGCTGGTTGGTATATTTATTTGACTGTGGATACTTGGCCTACCTGCCACTCCATCATTTACACTAACTGGGTTCTTTTAAGGTTGTGTTTGTGTTTGTAACCTCTAGCTTGACATTTTAGCCAAGATGCATGAGAAAATCCTCTTAGCAAGAATGATTTTGCTGCCTTTCAAAGTCATTAAAGAAAAGTTCTCAAAGGCTCTGCCTATCTCTAGTAGCTTCTAACGCATTCATTGTTTTGTTCATTAGCTTAGTATGTCAGAAGTATCTTGACATTTGACACTTCTGTTTTGAAACTAATGATTTATTTATTTAAGATAAGTGGGAGTTTTAAAGAAAAACAATTTGCCCTGGCAACAAAACACAAGAACAATTAATCACTAACTTTGGGAATTGAAGTGTAAACAGAAGATGAGATCATGGCTTTGCTGTTTATTCCTCTTCTCTGCAGATGCGAACCAAACTCACACCAGCCTTATTACTGTAGAATGTACCTATCTGTCCACAGTCACTTCCTCTACCACCACGGCTGGTTTGTGATTTTGGTTATCTGAGTTTTCCAGATAGCTGAAGTTTACCTGACTATAATTTATTATTGTTATTATTATTATTACTATCATCATCATCATCATTATTTGGTATAATGCTTTTTAAAGTGCTTTATACAAATCCCTGCTTTCTTAGGTGAAACATGCTAACCCTTTTTGGTGATCCCGGGACATTATTATGAAAGTCAACCGTCTTGGGGATATTGCATTGTGTCATGTTACTTGCCCTGCATGGAACATCCCAGACTATAATTCCTTTGTAATTCTTATGTCTCCCCTGTCTTATGTAGTGTTTTATTTTGTGTCTTCTTTTTTTTTTTATCAGTTTGTTAACTGAAATATGTCGTAAAATAGAAACTAGTTAGGCTGCTCTTATTAGAACTTAATAAAAATAAAACTAAATAGATTTATAGTGAAGGCTTAAGGAAGGCATGAAGGGGAGAGCACTTGGTGACTTCTACTTTGGAGTAATATAAGGTAGACAGACCTGGCAGTTAGAGGTCCTGAGCCTGTTCCTGACTACCATAAACTGTTATATGGCTGCCTCCTCTCTAGCTCTGTTATCCACTTGGTAGAACAGGGGTTTGAACTAGTTGAGCTATACGTTCTCTTCTAATCTGACATACTAGTATTCTAACAAGTCATCATACCCACACATTCAATAGGCCAACTCAAAGATGGTGAGCAGTTTCAACACACTGATTGCTTTCTGTTGAAGAACTTGATGAACTTGAACTTCTTCATGATCTATAACCAGGTAATACCAAATCAGTTACTTAATGAATAATGATGCCTTGAGCATGAATACTTTCAGACTCAGCAGCTTCCTTTCTGTATTTTGGTATCCCCAAAGTCTCTGTAGTGTGGACAGTTCCCATGTAGCTATTGTCTGTTATATGGACACTTTCAAGTGAAACCAACCAGAGATAACTTGGATCGGGCGGAGACCTAATGAAGGTCTGTGATAATAACTCTCTTGTAACTTCAAGGACAAAGGACATTTTTATGATGACAGATAAACAGTCATCACATGCAGAGCCACACTATTTCAGTGAACAGGTAAGCATGTTCTGGCTGAGGCCCATGGGAAAATCTGAGCCATCTCTACGTTTAGGAGCAGGGAAGAGAAGGCCCGGAAAGCCTAGGAATTCAGCCTGCAACTCAGAATGGGGTCTTGGAATATCAGAGCTGGGAAAGAGGGACCCCTAAAAGTTATTTCAACCCCCTTCCTTCTAGAGGAAACTGAGGTCCAAAGAGGGCCAGTGACTTGCTCAGGAGTAGAGAGACAACCACGACCATTTCCCGATGTCAGCTTTGCTTTGGGAACTCTTCTGACCCTGAAGAAAGGAACCCACCCACCCAGAGAGTACATGACAAAAGACATAGGCACTTTGCCAAACAACTTTTCTGGCTCAAGGGCCTCTTCAAACTTTATCTTGGGTGCATGGACTGTCTCCCAGAGAGGATGTGGCTCAGTGACAGCTCCTACTATAACCCAAACAGAGGGGTCACTGACCTTGGTTAATATGTGTAGCCCCTGCTATGAATTATAAAATTCTACAGAAATCATTTACCTCTGAGTGCAGGCGGAAGATTGAGCCCTGGCTTCTGTTTGGGCTGTCCCATTTCTGGGGTCATCATATTAACATGATGGAGGGAAGTACCTTATCAAATGAAGACACAAAATTCATAACAGAGAACCATCTGGCTGGGAATCACAGACTCTTCATTTTCCTATTTCTTATTATGGCAACCGTATCCTTTCAGGCTATTGTTATTTAGGGCGCCAACACATGGATGCATGTCCTCAATTTGTATTCTTTCAACTCAATTCAAAAAGTATTTATACACCAAATTCTGTCTGGACTACAGTGTGGAGGATGCCAAAAATTATTTTTTTGTTGCATGAGCTTAAAGAGTAAGTCCCCTGCCTTGGGGAATGTGAAATTTATTAGGAGAGTAATATAAGTGCTCAAATGGGTATGTGTAGGGAATTGTCAGGGCATAGTTACTGCAATGAAAGATAGGAAGCCCCAGGGGAATCAAAGAAGGTAAAAAAAAAAAAATGACATCAAGCTGAAGGAAATCATAAAACATTTAGGAAGAAGAGAATGTTCTTTGAGCTGAGGCCTGAAAGATAAATAGGACTTAGGGAGATGGAAGTAGTAGGTGGAGGGCAGGGGGTGGTAGGAAGAGCTTTCAGGACGAGGGACTAGTGAAGTCCCAGAGATACTCAGGGTCTCAACTGTCCCTTCCTTTCCACTACCACCTGCCATAGGAAGGGTTCTGTTGAGGTCAGGGAGCCGGGAAGAGAGATCTAAGGAGGAAAAGCCAGAGTCTGTTTTCTATGAATTTTTGCCTTAGTGTAAACAGCACAAACCTTGGCAAAACTAAGGCAGGGCAGCAGACACGCTGGCCCAATTTCTGTGAGAGCACAGCTGTGGCTCCTTTCCACGTGTCTCTAAAGTCATCTCATTGGAGTTGAACAGATACATTGACAGCTATCCACCCGTCCTTGGAGCAATGCATGGAGAAGGTAGCTCAGGAGTGATTGCTCTCATTTTATTTTACTTTTTTATTTGATTTTTTTAAAAGATTTTATTTGACAGGGGGAGAGAGAGAGAGAGAGAAAGAGAGAGAGAGAGAGAGGGAGGGAGAGAGCACAAGCTGGGGGGAGGGGCAGAGGGAAAAGCAGGCTCCCTGCTGAGCGGGGATTCCCAAGGCAGGGCTCAGTCCTGGGCCTCTGGGATCATGACCTGAGCTGAAGGCAGACACTTAACTGACTGAGCCACCCGGGTGTCCCTGTTCTCATTTTATAAAGGGAAACCTTGAAGGCCAGAGAATTTCAATGAATCAGGCCAGGTCATTATCTACCGAGTGGTGGCTTCAGGCCCATAACTGCAGCATCCCAATTCCCTAACCAGTAACGTCTTGTTCCTTCAAGGCTCGAGGCAAACAAACAAAGGCTGTCCTACAGACCCAGATACCTCAAGGCTTTGCTTGTCAGTGTTCCCAAGCTGTATCTTGGAGCTTCTCTGACATCTTCTCTGGGCCTTTGAAGAGCTTTTCAGAATTAACGTAGTCAGATATTCAGGGAGTGTGCTGGATTGTCCTGCTGTCGATTTAGTTAATCTGGGAACTACATTGCCTAGAATCTCCTTTCCTGTATAGTTCCGAGGTAGAGTTGGCCAGAGGAGACACCTGTGTGAGTTTAGAACACAGTCGTCCTTGCTCTGTGAAGGTTGTTCTGTGATCAGATACAGAGATGGACAGACATAGGTGTGCCCTTTTGTGATCAGATACACAGGTGCGACAGATGTAAATGGGCCTGATAGGTTCCAACTGTCCTCA